ATCCTGGTGAACTGTACATTTTCTAGCTTTGCCCCCCTCGGGTGAAGCTCTGTCTACTTTATAAGAGTTTACTTTAACCGTGTGATATTGTCATAGGAACGCCAGGAGGCAGAGAAAATGTTCAAGGGCAAACGGGGGGCTCAACTTGCAAAGGATATTGCCAAGCGAACGAAAACGTAAGATGAAAGTCTGTGTTGGACAGCAGCTCCTCAGGATCACTGGACACGGGCTGATTCGACTGGTTCACCGTCAAAAAATCCAGACGTTGTCTTCCTTTAACGCATGCAATCATTCATGACAAAATTCCTGATTTAATCATCATTTTAAAATGCAGAAAATCCTTAACTGTGGGATCGGCACCAAAAGATCGACCGCCCCGTTTCAATCGGGAGCAAGCGCACAGCTTCCATGGCGATGGTCATAATCTATAAGTGGGCCATCAAACCTACAGTCAGAACCGTTCCCCACAGTGTTGCTCAGGGCTGCTGTCTGTGGACAATGTATCAGTTTACTGACCCAAGAAAAGATACTATACATGAGATCACTACACTGAGGACTGAGAAGCCATCGTGTCGCTGTGTTGTCTAAATGAGCCTTCTTCCTTTCAGCTTCACGCCGGGGGCGGCAGCACAGCTGGAGAAGAAGAGGACGGGCCCGTCACAAGCAGATGTCGAAGCGATCAAGGTTGGTCGTGTGTTTTCACAGCTGCTCTTGAATCGTTGGGAATGTGATATTGTATTTTTGGCATTTAACAAAAAGTCTGACATGAGATGCTGCATCTCAAGGTTCATTCACCATCATTCCCACGACCTTTGGCGTCTTCTCAGGGGAGGCGCTGCACGTTTTACGTCTGTTGAGACTGCCAAAGAGCATTATCAGACGGTAATATGTTCTATGGCTACATTAGAGGGCCGTGGTACCTTGTCTTAGCTTTTACAGTGCGGCTGTCGTTTGTGCACGACGTATGGTCACTGAGGTTGTGTACAGTCATTTAGGAAGATTAGTCTTTTTGAAGTATGTTACTATTTCAGTGAACACTTTAATTACTCCCATAATTATTACTATTCCCCCTCTGTACTAGTGTATCCACATCATGCCACACACACTGCCTATTGTTGAACATCCCCTCATTAAAACCAGTGCCATTTAGACAACAGATTATGTATTTCCTGTCATTCTAAGGTAAATAATGCTACTATCTTTGCATCAAAAGGGTATCTATAGGCTGACCTTCTGATTGACACCTTCTTTGAACCAATGCGAGCTGGCATGTTCTGACCCATCTGGTTTATAGCCAATAAGTCTGCATTGAATGAAAGGACACGCCCCTTTCCTTATTCTGTGTCAAGAAGGACCTTTATAACACCTTTATCGCCTTCCATTAGAGCCCCAACTTAAGAAAAGTAGCCTAAGTAGGACAATGGTTAACGCGGCTTCTTCGGAGCCTCCAAACGGCCTTTTTTTGGAAACATCCCCTTAGAATTGGGTTAGGCTTCGTGCCGTGATCCCATTTGTGTTTTCCACCTAATTGGTCTCTGCTGCAGGGATCCGTTTGCAAAAAGATATTTTACTTCAGTGTCTTCAAACTTATTTGAACCGATCACTCCATGCCAGTAGTTATTACACTGAAGACCGGGGGCCTCGTTTATAAACGTTGCATACGCACAAAAGGCGTACGCCGCTCTCTACGCAATAATTGGTATTTATAAAAAGCAAACTTGACGGAAAAATGTGCGGTCCTTCAGGCAAGCTCGGACCCACCCGTACGCACAAAAACGGGTCAAATGAGAACCATCGGCAAATGCAAGAAACACGCAAACGTGTGTGAAAGTGTGTAAAACTAGACTGTTGTAAAATAAATGCCAATACTGCCTCTCATAAATAACACAAACGGATACAAATTAACACATTTTCAAAAAGAAAAGTGAAATATGTTCTGCAATAATATCGGCATGTTATGCAATTCATCCTCAAAACACAGCTGTTGCTTGTCAGATGCAATTAAATGGAATAAAATGCCATGATGCCGTCACAATGCGTAATGACGCTGATGGCTGATCTTGCGCTCTTAGAAGATGTGGCACATGGAAGGATTGGCGCTGTAGTGCAGCGCACCATCGGCCTGTTTAAGGGCAGATGGCGCTGTAGTGCAGCGCACCATCGGCCTGTTTAAGGGCAGATGGCGCTGCCTCGACTGCACTGGAGGGAGCTTATTGTTTACTCCTGAAAGGTGTGCAACATCGTGCTGGCATGTGCTGTGCTACATGATGTGGCACAGCTTCCAAACGTGCCTCGACCCCCTGACGCCGATGTTGGCCCCGACCCTGATCCCCAATCATTGCCGGCAGTCTCACATCAAGAGGGGACGGCTCCGGTGTCCCCTTTCCCACTCGGGGCAGACACACCGTGGCGATGGCGCGCTAAACGCTTTTTTGCATCCACTTTGATGTCAGACCATTTTTTCTTCATTTAGGCCACGGTCCGAGGTTGTGAGGCTGCAGCGTTGCTCTGCAACCTTTTGCCACTCAAGTGCCTTTTTGGCATTAGTGATGTCCATACTGTGGCCTCCAAAAAGCATTTGACTTCTCCTTTTCACCTCCCAATGATAATTTCCACTTCACACTGAGTGAGGTTACGTTTCTTCGTTTTCCTCTCAGTGTTTCGCAACCGATGAAATATTAATTTGTGGGCGTTCCACAGACTATCTATGGGCGTGACATGAAGCCGCAAAAGCTGCGCTGCATTTAGAAGTGATTGTGATTTATTAAGGGAAAACTGCGTGGGACGTGCGTGCGCACGTTTTTGTAAGTCTGAATATTTCTGTGCGTACGCACGTCCTACGTTTCATCCGTACACCACTCTTGGTGCAAATCCTACGCAAGGTTTTATAAATGAGGCCCCAGAACCGTGCATGTTGATCCAAATGGTTCAAGAACAGCTTTGTTATCTTTGGGTTTGCCTTGGACAGACGTTTGAGGCCAAGTTGACTGGAGTGGTAAGCGGGTAATGGCTTGAACGGATACTTGATTCACACCTTTTGTCATATTTCACTCTAAATCCATCATAATTTCCCTTGAATCCATGTTCCCGTGGGCTTAGCATAAAATGAATATCTCACCGGGTGGAAGAAACACCATTGATGACTTTATTCAATCACTCAGAGGAAAGCGCCCATCTCTTGCTCGTTTCCTGTAAAATGATCCCTGGAAGTCTTTGTAATAGTTCATCTGCTGACTTGAGCATTTACTTTTCAGATTGCCATTGCTAATGCTTCATCGTTGGCAGAGGTGGAGCGGTTGAAAGGGATGCTGCAAGCTGGTCAGATCCCAGGACGAGATCAGAGACCAGGTCAGTCTAAATACTGTGGAACATGAAGTCCCCTTTTGACGTATACAAGTACATTTCTCCAGGTTTCCTCTTTTGTGTGGTGTGGCAGCAATATTGCGTGATCTATCTTCCTCTGTGCCGTGGAGCAGCATCATTGTCCAAAAACGATCGATGACCACTAGGTGACCGCCTAGCGAGCCCCCAGCAAATGCAATTTCCTCCCGTTTAAAGTTGTCTGAAAGCTAGAGGGACCATTTTTAGAATACGATATTACTACTGTGAATAGTTGCTATTGCTGTGTCTTTCTTTTATAATTCTGACCTGCCGTTACAGATTTACTCTTAACTATAACCTCTGCTTCAAACTAGTGTTATTAAAGTAGCGTGACCAAATCATGATAAAGTTATCATTTAAAAAATGTACCTTTTTTATTATCATGGACCTTCGGCAAATCACTTAATTTTATAGCCAAGATCACAGCTCCTCCAAACGTGCAAATAGACCGACCACGACGGGTCGTTTGTCATAAATCAGCACAGATGTTATGCTGATAGGTCCAGAATTATGAGAGATTAGCCGTCGACAGACACGCGCAGACACAGATCGAAAACACATGAAGCATAATAAAACCTACTGGCAGCTTTACCCTAATCTGAATTAGATTTTCTTTTGGTAACCTTATTGTAAGATTCATGGATTGATGAATGTTATTTTGTAAATCAGATCCATCTGGGATGATGGAGGAGGAGGGGGGGGTAGAAGAAGAAGAAGAAGAGGAGGAGGAGGAAGAAGATGGTAACACTGCACATATGGCTGGAGCTTCTGGAGAGGAGATGAACGAGGACGATCAAGAAGCGGATGAAGACATGGAACCAGAGCCGCATATTAATGGCTCCTGAATACCTGGTGATATTTGTTGAATTGCTTATGTAGTTCTTAAGTTGGACATTTTTTTTTTACCATACATTAAACTGTTTTCTAATGTTTCTCTGTCCAGATTCTTTTAAACTGTTTATGGGTCCACAAATGTATAGACATAGAGATTGAGGTGAGAATCAAATGCAGAAAGCTCCCTTACTTTTACAGATTTATGTGGGGTGTGATTCATGGATCACTGGATCTTATGCAACCAAAAGCATCATTCAGTTTGTCGTGTTCTTTTTCATTTTTATATGGACTCTTAACAGAACTTTACTGTCGACTTAAAGGCCAATTTCTATTTTGTCATGAAAATTAAAGTATTCGCTTCAAGCTTTGGTTTGTGCAATCAGTCAATATTACTAATGTTGCTTTCAAAAGTTGAATGCATAAGTAATTGGTATTATCTGTATTGTAATAAATGATGCCTTAATAGTCATAGCACTCATACATGGTCAAGTACCGGGATACCTTGCCTGTCGCTTGCTGACTTTATTTTAGTGACAATATATTTCAGATACAATATAATTGATTACGATCCTGTTATAATTACTACAAGCTGGTTATAAGTCACCATAAGCGATCACTGTTTAAGGAAAGTGAAATGAAATATTAAATCTATGCAGCTCAACATACTACGTTGTCAAATGAGTCATGGGAGGAAAATATATACCGCCTGTGACGTCGCTTGACAGTTTCCTGGTTCCTGCGCTCTAATTGCATCACGACGCAGACACGTCACCCTGACGGCGTCCTGCGTCACTACGTCAGCCGACGTAGCGAAAATGGTTGACACGGGAAATAGTTCCTAGCACGACGTGTAACTCCGGAGCCGATAGCGTTTCGGTAGAAGCCAGCTCAGCGACCCGGGAGAAAAAGAGAAAAGCTTGTTGAGGTAGCCGTGTCTTTGTCTCCGATGGAGGACGTGGAGATCACAGATGTCCATGACGGTGTGGAGACGGCGCCCCTCACCAACCAGGACCTGAGCTCCGTGAGCCTGACGGGTACCAGCTAACAGCCGCTATTGCCTTGTTAATACATGCAGTCATACTGACAACTGTCCAGTTTACGTGCCTCTCTAACGATAACTATGTTACGTATTTGTGGGTAAATATGTTGCCGCCAAGAGTCCTCCTTTTATTTATGAATGCACAACTATTATCAGATTAGTGTGGTCTGGTTATAAATGTGTGGTAAATAACGGTCGCATGGTGCGGCCCACAGTCGGGGAGCTCCTGTCCCAGTACGGATGGTACCTGCTGGCTGTGACCGCCCTCCTTTACCTGCTCATCCAGCACCTGAGCAAGAGGAGATCCAGCCAGAGCTCCAGCAGCTCCACCCAACCATCACTGCAAGGTCAGCACCAGCACCTCCCAGTACCTGCTGCGTCACTCCCTCTGTTAGTTACCTGCTGCGTCACTCCCTTGGTTACCAGCTGCGTCACTCCCTCGGTTACCAGCTGCGTCACTCCCTCTGTTAGTTACCTGCTGCGTCACTCCCCTTGGTTACAGCTGCGTCACTCCCTCCGTACCAGCTGAGTCACTCCCTCGGTTACCTGCTGCGTCACTCCCTCGGGTTACCAGCTGAGTCACTCCCCTCGGTTACCTGCTGCGTCACTCCCTCGGTTACCTGCTGCGTCACTCCCTCCGGTAGTTACCTGCTGCGTCACTCCCTCTGTTAGTTACCTGCTGCGTCACTCCCTCGGTTACCTGCTGCGTCACTCCCTCTGTTAGTTACCTGCTGCGTCACTCCCTCGGTTACCGGCTGCGTCACTCCCTCGGTTACCTGCTGCGTCACTCCCTCGGTTACCTGCTGTGTCACTCCCTCGGTTACCGGCTGCGTCACTCCCTCGGTTACCGGCTGCGTCACTCCCTCGGTTAGTTACCTGCTGCGTCACTCCTTCATTTACCTGCTGCGTTTCAAGTGTTTGAGTTTCTCATTGAGTCACCAAAAAGTCAAATATACTGAATAAACTGCCTCTTTTAATATTTATCGTTCTCTTCTGTAAATCCATACAAAGGTCTCTTCACATTGTCATACATTAGGTCATATACAGTTCAACATGAAAGCACATCAGTGTATGTTGATCACGGAGGCTCGATCATTTGGAGGTATTTATAGTGATACTTTTAAGTATTATAATAGTGGGTTTGAAAATGTAGTTATTCATGTCACCATCATGTCAAATGGTGCAACTGTTATGCAACATTAATAAGACAATCCAATGCCGTGGTTCCACTTGCCTTCAATGCTCGGTGTGGGATCCAATCAGCCAGACAACGTTCCGAGTAACTCCCCAGAAGAGAGAAGGCAGAGAGGAGATCACAAGGTGTAGCTGGTGTTAAATAACAAAACAGCAAAAGACTTGTACTTTCAATGTGACTTTAATGATCAGGTACAAGTGGTCACTCAACCAGGAGTCCAAGGGGAGTTTTTATTCCAACCAGCCATCCCAAACCTGTTGATTCATATTCTGTCCATTATTTGTTAGCTGCTGCTATGCTGCACATTGCTCAGTTGTGGAGGCTAATTGTCATGATTTCTACTGTGGGGAATGAAGATGCAGCATTGGTGGCAAGAAGACAAGAAGCCATGGAAGCAGCTCGCATGAAGATGCAACAGGAGCTCGATGCCAAAGCCGAAATCTTCAGAGAGAAACAAAGACAGGTGCAGTAGGCCCAAAAGGAATCTGTCAAAAAGAGATGTCAGACCAACTGAGTGTGATGTATTCTGTAAACAGCAAGAAGAACAGAAGAGGAGGCAGAAAATCGAGATATGGGAGAGCATGCAACAAGGAAAGAGTTACAAAGCAACCACTAGATCTTCTCCGGTGAGTGAATTATGCAATAATAATTATTAAACCTACCGTAGGAAGTAGCGGCGGCTGGGGGGGACGCACGGCTGGGGGATGACTGAGCCGTAGTAGCCGCCATGGTTTTGCATCGCATTAGCATCTTGGTAGGAGCTAAATACTGTTAGCTAGCTGTACCCTTCAGCCGTGTGTCCCTTTAGACACATGTTCCCTTGGTCCTTAAATCCGAGGATTGGCGGTTTGATCCCCAGCTCCGTTACCATGTGTCCTCGGGGACATTTACCCCACGTTGCTCCCGTACCTGTGACGATGATGTGTACATATTAGCTACTGTCAATAGTAGTTTGATAGCTATTTGTTTGGTCGGAAGACTAAACTTCTTTATAATAAAAACAATGTACTTGTAGTTCTCTTTTGTAGTCTTTAGTAGCAGCTCTAATTTTAAACCCAATGAAATGTAGACTGACATGGCCGTACAATGTTCCTGTGTCTGGGGTCAGCAGGTTTAGAATCTGCTACCCTCCCCCCGAGTCTCTGACACCACTTGTGTGTGTTTGTATAATTGCCATGCGACTCTTGATCAAAGACTCTGAGGGCTGTTAACGGAGTCCATCACTGTAATGTCTGACGGACGCTTTTCACTGCAGACCGCCGAAGAGGCCAGCTCGTCAACAACAGCGCTGAAACCGAAGTCGGATAAGAAGCCGCTTCGCAGTGCAGGTACGTCCTTCAAATGCTCATGCAAATATCATTTTAAACCATCAGAAATCTAAAATGATACCCATTTACTTTGTTCAAGTCATCCATTATTTTGCGTAAAGAAACAACATTCAGAAATAAATGTTTCCCAACTTGAATAAAAAGTTTTACCAAAACTACATTTTACAAGATTACATTTATACACATGACAACATCACAATTGACTTTCAAACAATACGTTTATTGCACAGATTATGAACACATCATGCTGTCTCTCAATGGAACCTCCATCGGTAGCACGCGCTGTATCTAAAAAGTGGACATTTGATCATTGCTATCTCGTTTTTTTTCATAGATCATAGCTCAGCTTGTTCGTTGTGCAATGAGTTATGTACAACAGAACACAAACGGTCCCATACTGCGTAGTGTAGCAGACTCCGCATGGCGCTCATTTTCATCTACAGTTCCACAGCAGCTCTCAAGTGAAACACAAACTCTGTGAAAGAATAACCCTTACCTAGAAAACCCCCACTAAAGCCACGATACACACACACACACACACACACAAGCACTCATTGAGGCCATCGCATGAGGTCTGGCTTCCTCTTGAAACAAACGCACTGTTCTCATTCATCACTTATCTCCCAGGCCTCTACAAACGAAACCAGATGTTCAGTTGATACAGCGGTTTACCCACCAAGACGCTGACGTCTGCATGTAAAACTCACTTTTATCAACAATCTTGTATCCCACGAACGTTGTTGTGTTCCCACTTGCTGTAAAATGGTTGATGCTGCCGTTAAGAGCTCATGCAGGAGGCGGGACATAAAACCACCAGCCTTTCTCATAATTTGATCTGACACTACAGATTGATCCGAGTCTTCATCGCTCCAGTCAGACTTCATGTAAATGAGCCGTCCTCCTCAGATGTGTGTATATGTCTGTTTTTTGTGCGAGTCCCGAGGCCGTGTCCTCCGCACACTCACGATGAGTGGCTCTATTCTATATTCCTAATGTGTGTGTTTCAGACTACAACCCCCTGACGGGACAGGGGGGAAGCTCCTGCTCCTGGAGACCTGGCAGGAGAGGACCCTCATCTGGAGGGTGAGGGTAAAGGAGGTTGGAGACGTTGGTCTGTTTGACCTTTGCCCTCTGACATCCTGATGTGCACACTGACTGACTGAACCAAGCTGACGATGTTTTCTTTTGATGTGTTTGATTTGTGTTTTTTCTCTCTGGTCCTTCGGCTTTTTTCACCATCAGATACTGTGCTCCTCATTATCTGCTAATGCATTTTGGAATTGAAAGCTTGTAATGACGCCCTTCCTGTAATCGGTATGGAACCAGCAGGTTTGGCTGATGAATTTCAAAGTCAGTGTGTTTTTTTCTTCTATATTTTGGTACCAGCATAGTTTAGATTTCATGTTCCTAAAGTTACTGCTGCTGGATGTTTGTTAAGTTCATTACTAAATAAATAGAACATTCTGATATAGCTAGCATAGTGAACAGGTTGATCTATGGCGATGTAACAATGCTGTTTCTATACTCTATACTGCACATTTTTAGGCAATAAAGATTTGACCACGTTATATTTGTGTTTGTCCTGCTGTGAAAGTCCATCATGCACAGTGCAGGTTTAACAAACTGCCGACCAGTCCACGGTGAACCCCGCCTCTCGCCCGAAGTTAGCTGGGATAGACTCCAGCCCCCCCCCCCTTTCAAATAATCCAATTTACAATTTGCTATAGATGAGTGACAAGTACAATTTAAGTGCTACAATTTGTTAGTCCTCAGTGGAGGTAGAGTCTGAAGAGGTGTGTCTTTAGTTTGCGGCGGAAGATGTGAAGGCTCTCTGTGGTCCTGATGTCTTCAGAGAGCTCGTTTCACCATTTCGGAGCAGGACAGCAAAGAGTGGTGATCTAGTCGAGTGTTTTGCTCTCAGTGGAGGGAGGGACAAGCAGTTTATCACATGCAGAGCGGAGAGTGCGGGTCGGGATGTAGGGTTTGACCATGGTCCTGGGATGTAAGCTGGACCCCATCCATTCACAGGCATGGTAGGTGAGCACCAATGTTATGTAATGCAGCAAAGACAGACAACCGCCATAAGTTCCAATGTAGAGTGTCAGTATATTTAATGTACAGCCGTGGCCAAAAGTTTTGAGAATGGCAGAAATATTCATTTTCAGTCTGCTGCCTTTGAAACACGTGCAGTAATCATTGCTTTGCACAAATAAGGCTTCCCAGCCCAAGGATATTGCTGATGGTAAGATTGCACCTAAATCTACTATTTATCGGATCATCAAGAACTTCAAGAAATGTGGTTCAATTGTTGTGACGAAGGCTTCAGGTCGCCCAAGAAAGTCCAGCAAGCGCCAGGATCGTCTCCTAAAGTTGATCCAGCTGAGGGATCGGGGCACCACCAGTGCAGAGCTTGCTCAGGAGTGGCAGCAGGCAGGTGTGAGTGCATCTGCACAAGTGCAAAAGTGAGGCAACGACTTTTGGAGGATGGCCTGGTGTCAAGAGGGGCAGCAAGGAAGCCACTTCTCTCCAGGAAAAATATCAAGGACAGACTGATATTCTGCAAAAGGTACAGGGATTGGACTGCTGAGGACTGGGGTAAAGTCATTTTCTCTGATGCCTTTTGCCTTTTCCAGCATGATGGGGCACCTTGCCATAAGGCTAAAGTGATAACTAAGTGGCTCAGGGAACAAAACACCGAACTTTTGGGTCCATGGTCAGGAAACTCTGTAGACCGTAATCCCATTGAGAATTTGTGGTCAATCCTCAAGAGGCGGGTGGACAAACAAAAACCCACAAAGTCTGACAAGCATTGATTATGCAGGAATGGGCTGCCATCAGTCAGGATGTGGCCCGGAAGTTAATTGACAGCATGCCAGGGCAAATTGCAGAGGTCTTGAAAAAGAAGGGTCAACACTACAAATGTTGAATCTTTGCATAAACTCTATGTAATTGTCAATAAAATCTTTTTACACTTATTAAATGCCTGTAATTATTCTTCAGTATACCATAGTAACATCTTACAAAAAGATCTAAGAACACTGAAGCAACAAACTTTGTGAAAACCAATAAATGTGTCATTCTCAAAACGTTTGGCGACAGCTGTACACACTAATCATAATCCATACGTTTTTACTCATTTCCACTGGGAAAATTACATTGTTTACTCTGTTTGTTAGAATGCACTACACACAGGCTTGAAATATGTAGCTGGTGTTAAATAACAAAACAGCAAATGACTTGTTCCTGATCATTAAAGTCACATTGAAAGCACAAGTGGTCACTCAACCAGGACAAAGCCTGTGAAAGAGTCCATGGGGAGTTTTTATTCCAACCAGCCATCCCAAACCTGTTGATTCATATTCTTTCCATTAGTTGTTAGCTAGGAGTTAACTAGTTAACTACTGTTAGCTAGGAGTGCACATTGCTCAGTTGTGGAGGATAATTGACATGAATTCTACTGTGGGGAATAAGCATGCAGCATTGGTGGCAAGAAGACAAGAAGCCATGGAAGCAGCTCGCACGAAGATGCAACAGGAGCTCGGTGCCAAAGCCGAAGAGATGAAGCGATGAAGAGGACGGTACGGTCATGTACATATTTGATGGACTGTGAAGAAAAACGATACCGTTCAAACAAGTAGTTATCTGGAAATGACAATATGTCTAATTGGGGCCTCAATATTCTCTCCCGACGTGTTTAACACGCTGCAAAGTAAAATCGCTTCTTCATCAACAGGATCATCCAGAAAAGGACGTGACATGTTCAAGAAAACACTTTAGTCTTTAACGTAACAGAGATCTTATTTTATTCATATGTGGAAGCTGCGCTAAAATACACCTGATGCAGAGTACTTGAATGAATGAGGAAATGAAAGCCGATGTGTGATTGGCTGGGCTGCTGTCAGAGGGAGGAGCCTGTGAAAGACGAAAGAAAACCAGGTGACGTTGACAGGCTCAGTTACCATGGTGACTGACCCTAAGCTTTAGTTACCTCCCTTTGTGAAACAGACAAGCCAGAGTTTCCCTCGTCTCAGGGTTAACAAACTGAGTTTCCACTAAACCCGCTTCATGAAACGGATCCCAGGAGCTCACACTGATGGTAACAGCAGATTGTGACAAATTACAAATTTACAACCAAAGAAGAAGAGTCATTCACAAAGCCTCCGAGGCTGCCTGACTGGATGCCAGACCAAACTGGATTAGTAGCTCTACACGTGACAACCATCTCAGAGAGTACACAGCGCCGGTCTCTGGCAACCACACGGACTCTCTTACTTGGCAAGGAAACACGTTGTAGGTTCTGATGCCGTGTAGCAAAATAGTCAGAAGAGACTCAGATCGGATTTTGTTGACTGAACTGTGCGTCCACAGCACCCAAACACAGCAGAGCTACCGTGAAGCACTATGGCTTTTCTCTGACAATTATTTAAGAGGTTAAAGGGAAAGTAGATGCAGTGTCGTCTCCTCACAGTCTTAATGGAAAGCTGCTGCTCTGGTAGCAGCAGGTCCCATGAACACCACACAGGGCCTCAGAAGGAAAATGCAGCTTGTCACTTGCTTTTGGAAGAGGTTACTCAAAAAGGAAGAAATTGAGTATTTGTTGTGAACCACGTGTTTGGTTTGCTTCATGCTTCTGTGTGCTTTCGGGCGTCAATGTTTGACACTAACATATTTCATCGATATAGGGATGGCCTTCATTTAAAAATGTTTTTAAGAATAGTGTCAGATTGAATAAATGAATGATGCAGTGTTTGATCAATTACATTTCATTACGTAATAATGAAATGCCCCCCCCCCCCCCCCGTGTCATTCAAATTCAAGCCCTTCGGCCGTGTGGACAGGAAGGACTGTTAGATGTGCAATCCCTTATATATGTACAAGCGACGAGGTTTTTCCAGGACCTTAATACATTTAACTTCTGTGGAAAGAGAACCCACACAAAACTACTGTAGACCACGGCACCGACCACGTGGAGGAGCTGCAGGCCAGGCAGCTGCCTTGTGGCTGTTCTGCTAGAAATACCTTTTGGGGAGGTTTTCTTATGAAGAACAAACGTAGGTCTGCTATAACAAAACAAATATATAACAACAAACAACTCTTCACCTCTAAAACCTTACAAAAACTGAAAATACGACACAGGTGACTATAACATATGTTTTTCTGTTCCATCTTCACACTGAAGTTGACATTACTTGTGAGCAAAAACATGAGCCTGGATTATTAATGCAGGCTCATGTTTTTCTGCTACTTTCAAGGTGTTGCTACGTGGAGAAGTTGTTGGTGACTATTATATACAGTATTCTGGTGTCACAATCATTATTTAGGCAGTAAATTGCTGAGACATATAACTAATAGTATCATAGTTGTTTCAGTCGTTTGACTCTAAAAGCAATTTGAGAGCAACTGAAGGTCACAGACGGGTTTATTGACCACGTTTTGGGGGATTTTCATGTAAAAGTTGAGCGCTTCATCGTTCAATCAAGTTGGGTAAAGTCAATGTAACTACGACTCCCAGAGGGCATTTCTGCCAGCTTTAAATCAACAGCCTCGAACTTATAGAGCGTAGGAAGCAGTAGTCCGGTTGAAGCTATTCTCTGGGGTATTTTTTGTTTTTAAAAACAGATATAGCGACGAGTTTTGAATTCGCCTCCGCACCTCATGCTGGATTAATCTCCATGGCAACGGCGGCTGAGGCTCATGGGTACTGTAGTCTATCGAGTCATTCGTCAAACCAAGACGTGTTACACAACATAACTCCTCATAAACACATTGAAACAGGGGCCTACTGTTTAAATGTGTGTTCGTTGCGTAATCTGGCTTATAAAGTAGCGAACACCTTTACAATACAACATATCATGTAATTGTGTCCATTGTACGTGACCTAACGGACAATGAGGAAATAAAAAAAAACTGAGCCGCTATTGCAGAATGGAGAAACGAACTTCCGGCCCCTCCCACCTCAAAGAGATGCAACAAGCCAGCCAGTCAGAGCGTTTCTACGGAAAGCCGTTGGGTCAAACCACTGCCTGGTTAACCCCCCCCCCCCCCCCCCCCCCTTTTTTTTCCCTTCGGCATAAAAGATCTCGAAAGGGGAGAATTTCTCCACAGGGGGGATTATGGTGAGAATGTGGCCCTTGCCCAAGGGAAAAGAAAACAGCCCATCGGCGTTGAGGTGTCCCGATGGTCGCGAAGGAGCGACCGCTGGACGAGCAGAGGAAGCGGCGGCAGAGGACGGTTCAGGTGGCGGCTTCAAGGAGACTGCTGTGATGCTACGTAGGCAGCTGAAGGGAAAGGGCTTTTCTACTATGAGAGAGTGTGTGTGAGGCGCCCGACCGTTCTCCTTTTTGGTTTATGGACAGTTATTCGTTTTCCCGTTACCGTGTTGCTGTTTTTAACGGGTACCGCGAGGATACACGGGGAGCTTGGGACGTTTTGGGGAATGGCAGGTCGAAGCCGAAGAGCCTGGTTTAGTGTTCTGCTGGGGCTGGTGGTCGGCTTCACGCTGGCTTCCAGGCTCATCCTGCCCAAGGCGACGGAGCTGAAGAAAGCCGGGCACAAGCGAAAGGCGAACCCCGCCGGCTGCGGGCTGAACGGGGGTCACCGAACGGAATACAACGGCGTACTATGGCCGCTGCATGATAACGGTTCACCGGCGACCGAGAAGCCTGGGCCCGGGTCCAACAACTTCCTGTTCGTCGGTGTCATGACTGCTCAGAAGTACCTGAACAACCGAGCCGTGGCGGCGCACAGGTACGTGACGTGTCTGAGACGTGTGCTCATTCCCCCCCCACCCAGACTAACGGTCCCAGCGACGGAGCTCACCGGGTCGCAGCCGGCCCGGTTTCTACCCGCCGTGCCCGTTAGTCGCCGGGGCGCGGGCTCCTTTCTGTCGGTAACACAGCGGGTACTGCGTGCTAGTTCCCCCACCTGTTTCCCCGCACGGAGCTCTACGGGGTGACGATACAGGTCCACTGGGTCCGCACCGGCCACGTTTGGGTGTCGTGTTGAAGCCACACGATGTGAACAACATGTGGCACGTCTGCGTCATCATTTTAGACGCAGTCCTCCAAACTTCATCCGGACGGATTCTGTGTCTTTCGGTTAGAAATGCATCCATCAATGGGTACTTGCGCTGCACCATTTAGCCTTTTAAATATCGTAAAATCTAAATGACACCATCTCACAGGAGCCTGCCCGTGTCTTGTTTTATCAGCCCACAATGTTGTCAGGGTTTCTTTTCAAATGACTTGAAGGTTGCGTTGGTCTCCCAGAGAACTATGGGAGGCCCAGTTAATGAAGAATACAGAATAAATTCACCCGGGGCTCCAAGTATCAAGACCGAACCCCAATGGGCTACAAAACCCCAATGTCTGGGTCTACGTTCAAGCCCTAGAAATAAGAAGTCCAATCAAAGCACAGCTTGGACCAGCAGATGTGCGGAGGTGTCTCCCCAGAAATGAATGCTTATCAATTGAGGCCATAGCTGAATGATCATGGAGGGGGGAGGAAACCTGTCGCTCTTTCTCAACAGCAGACATAAAGGTCATATTGAGTGCATTGAAACACAGCCACACATTAGTCAGCATATTTACATTTCAGGTTTTCAACATCAGTGACCTATTTGAATTGTTTCTTGGCTAAATGCCTCAAAAAACCCCGTAGTTCTCACAAGCTGAATAGAGTTTAGCGTTTTGTTCTCCGACATAAAAGCGGTCAGTAAACGCCTCCCTGGTGAACGTTGAATAGACACTTACCTCCTCACTGGAACACCAACCATGTGACTGGTGGAGCTCCTCTGTAGCCCAATGTTTAACTTTGAAGGATTATTCCCACTGCACAGGTCATAGATGTGCTATTAGTTTGAACATTATCTTGCTGATCAATAATCGACATTTCCTCTAGGTTTGTTTTTGCATTCATCTTACAGGCAATGTAAAGATCCCCCTGTCTTCTATCCCCTTAATTTACTACTAGATTACTATAACATTTTGACTCCTATTAATGAAATGTATAAAAACTAAAAAGAAGAATGTGTTGCTTCTCAGGTCTCCCTGCGTCTTTAGTAGAGGGACCAGCACATATGACTGTCAGGGCCGTTTACATGTCACAGGACAGCGTCACCGTTCTCCCCCTCCACGCCACAAAGCCTCGTAGCTTAATCACGGAGAACTTCCCACACTGTCTAATAGGAACTGTTACAAATATTTCACATCTTACATTTCACTGGCGTCATTGTCCTGTTCCAACAGCGGGTGGAAGGAGAAACCGCCTCTTTAATTCAACATGTGAGGTCGTCTGTGTGTTTCTACAATCCGATATGCATTCACCAGGCTGAACCCAAGTCGTTCTCACACGGGACCCTGATCACCAACATGGACACTTGTACGGTTAATACGCTCAAAACACACACACACACACACACACACACACACACACACACACACACACACACACACACAGCCGGGTGTCAAACAGCTGTGTAAGCAGATAACACCGATTCATTGAATATAATGGCAGGTTGTCTGCATGGACTTCATGCTATCCCTTTAGCCACACAGCTGCTTTACTTCTGCTTTGTAGATAAGAGATCTCTCTGTGAAGAAGCACAAACACACATTAGTTACAGCAGATGCTGCTACACAAGCTGTCTGTCCGTCAGGAGAGGGCTGTGTCGTGCCGCACACAGGCGGCCAATAAGAAGACATCTTTGTATGCGCTGCTGGAATCGAGAATAAAGGCGCGTGTGTGATGAACCTATTTAGGGTGTTGTCCTATCGTTGTTGTCATGGAAGTCCTGTCACACACAGCAAGTGAACCAGAACACGAGCACGGACCCTGACGGGTTTCTGAGCACCCGGGTACCAAAAGAGCCTTCAGGCCAGCGGACGATTCCATTGGCGTCAGAAATACTTTGAGGGACTATCAAACTATTATTTTAAAGATTATGTTATTGTTTGAATCTCATGTAACCATTTTTGCTGTGTTTAACAAATGCTTAATTCAATGTTAAAGTTCTTAATTAAATTATAAAATAATCAAGTAAAGTACTTAATTCACACAGAAACATGCTAAACTGTTGTTTGATATTTCATAGACTATTTATTTACTTTACAGTTACTTCTATTGAAGAGCCACTCCCCCAAAATGATCATAGTGAATGTAAACAACACATGTCTTTTATATTAGCATATTCTATAGCTGTTAAATGACACAGTCCAGTTCTGATTACATTCTGCTGTCATGACAACGGGCATCGACTCGTTTACTGTCTGGACGTGAAGAGAAAATAGGTTTGAAGCTTTCACACATTCCACATCCATGCAGTGTAGATTTGTTGGACAATCACATCAGTGTTCACACGGTGAGACCATGCGGTCGCCCTGACGCACGTTAAAGCCACCGACTGCACATGTGGACCACATCTGTATACACAGACAGACAGACAGTGTGCATAGGACCACATCCCCAGATTGCAGTCCAGCTGTTACGCTTCCTACAGGAGCAGAGATTTAGTCATGTACACGACTAAATGATTTCATTTAATAAACGGTGGTAGCGTCTCCGCTGATGACACGGCTCTGTGTGTTTACAGGACATGGGCACAGACCGTTCCAGGTCGCGTGGAGTTCTTCTCCAGCGAGGGCTCCGACACCTCCATACCGATTCCCATAGTGGCCCTGAGGAATGTGGATGACTCGTATCCGCCGCAGAAGAAGTCCTTCATGATGCTCAAGTACATGCACGACCATTACCTGGACAAGTACGAGTGGTTCATGAGGGCCGATGACGATGTCTACATCAAGAGTGAGAGGCTGGAGGGCTTCCTGCGCAGCCTTAACAGCAGCGAAGCCATTTTCCTGGGGCAGACCGGCATGGGAGCCAGGGACGAGCTGGGGAAACTGGCCCTGGAGCCCGGGGAGAACTTCTGCATGGGGGGGCCCGGGGTCATCATGAGCCGCGAGGTCCTCAAGAGGATGGTGCCCCACATCCGAGAGTGTCTGCAGGAGATGTACACCACCCATGAGGACGTGGAGGTGGGCCGGTGTGTCAGGAGGTTTGCTGGGGTCCAGTGTGTCTGGTCCTATGAGGTGAGCTGTTTTCATTTGTCCCCTTGTCCCCTTCTTTGCTGTCAGTTGCTCCGAATCCCTCTAGATTCAAGAGGCAAGGACCCCCACATAGAAGTGTTGATTTGTACACCGCACAGCAGACGGCGAGGTGGGGGCGCATGTTGGTGCGCTGTACGCGTGACATACAAAACACCGGAGATCAGAAGCTGATCAGCCAATCAGCTGCTGGATGGATTTGTTTATGACAAATGTCCATGTGATTTACTCCTGTCCGCTGACCCGGATCCTTGCGTCTGAGGCGTCCTGTGGGCCGGCACTTGACCCGGGCTCCCAGAATAGCATTCCATTGGCTGGTCCAGTCGCCGTGTCCTACCTTCACTTGCGTGTGATGTTTACACAGCACGGTGTCGTGTAGAGTGGATCGTGGAACACTCACGGACATTATCTTTCAAGTGGTTTGATTGCTGGCCCATAAATCAGCCACACAATAGTTTCACGCAAACACGCTATCCACATCAATCAATGTGCATGTTTGTTCCAAAGGGGGAAGTGCTTCACACTCTCTGCACTTCAGCTCTGACGCCGAGCAGACAGCGTGGCGTCCCTGCGGGGGCGCAGTGAGTGTCCCTACATGTCAGGACGCGGTGGAGACACAAACCTGAAGTGTCTGAATGAGATAAGCGGAGGTGTGTGTTCAGTGTGATTGATCGCGCTGTGTTTCACCCCCACAGACCGCTGTGACCTGCGGTCTGTGTTACTGAGGGGCCCCAAATGCCCCCTCAGTCTCAATCTATTTCATTACTGAAACCAAATGTCCCCCCCCCATCTCCCTGGGCCTCTGCCCGACCTGCACACCTGTCGAGAAGAGAGGGAAACTCACATGCAGGAAATCCCCATGTGTTTTATTTCAGACAGTCACTAAAAAAGGTGTTCTCTGAAGGGGGGCGGGGGGTATAAATGCTTTTAAAGAGTTCAGAGCACCGTGATTATCAGGATGATCTCATGAAGCCAGGTTGGGTTGGTCAGGATGATCATGACATGACATTTTGTCCTCGTCCATTACTTAATGAGCAGACCGACGTTCTCACGGTCGACAAAGGCCCAGGAAGTGAGCCACCCACGCTCCTGAGCACTGCCTCAACACGCTCTTCCAACTGATCCTAAAAAGCCCCCTTCGTTTCCTGTCTCTGAGCACCCAGCGTTGTTATTATGCCATTATCATTATGAATATGATGGTGGTATGTCTGCACCTGTGTGCATGTGTCTGCTCTGTTGTTGCTTGCAGCAGCCTGGAGTGAGTCTGTTATATTGTCCACTCTGTGTGCTTCTTTCTAAAAGTATGCCCCACCATGTTTACTCTCACTATTCTAAAATAAACTGGAGCTGCAAGGCCAGAGGGGTGAATTAGCCCGAATTCCAGCTCTGCAGCATGAAGCTCTGCAGCATGAAGCGCAGGCATGAATGTGTGGCTGCAGCAGCAGGACACAGGCTTGCAGGACACGTGCTCTTTGGGAGACTATAGGCCACTGAAACCTTCATTAGTGTGAGTGGGCTCCTTCTGATACACACTCGCCCGGAAAAATGACTTCTTTCATCCTGCTCACGTCCCTCAAGTTCCAATAGAAGGCTTTATATTTGCTTTGATTTGACATCTGCATGCTTCTTTGAGCCGTTGGTGTTTGGCATGCTGTGGAGTAGTGACTTGGTCCATAAAGTTAATCCAGCACATATAGTATAAGTACACACAACTTCTGCACTAATACACACTGGTCACAGACGATCACTCCAAGTAGAGTTTCTTTGATTGTTTGTGAAATAAAAAGTGAATCCGTTTGCTCAGCACTGTTCACAGAGCACACAAGTGTCACCAATAAGATGAAGAAGGGTGCTGGTCCTATTGAGCTGATCATGGCGTCAGTTTAATTTGACACTTATTACCGTATTTTGTCATTTCTGATGACATATTTTTAGATGAGACTAGAACGCTAAGGGGATCTTTTTGTTTTGTTTGTGACGGAAGCAGAATGAGCTCTGACCGAAGCGCGTGTTATTGCACCCCAACCCTTTAGCACCTCACGCTGTTGAGTTTGACAGCGCCTGCGTTTTAATGCACATATTGATAAACATGAATATGTGAGACAGATCCTTCCATTTTCAGTCTCTGAATAACCATGAAGGATCTATGGCAGGTGTGGCCACGCTTCTTCGGCTCGCAAGCTACTTTTTCAATCGACCAAGTTATGACCCAACGTCATTAGTTTTTTTCCCAATCGAAGGCGGTGGATTGGGCACCGTGGTACGAGTGGTCCATGGTGTCTGACTAAGGACTAAAGCGCCGTGCCAGATGTGAGGCCTGCTCACTGTATGACGTAACGGAGCCCTGGAGGTGAGCAGCAATCTGCTTTCCTCAGAAGCTCAGAGACCATTCCAACACGTACAGACAAGCTCCAACACGGCTAATAACAGGACTCCCAGAGTCCACCTCCTAATCCTAAAGGGTCCTGAGTGGCCTGAGAGCCAACCAAATCTCCCTGTGCGCTGCCTCATGCGCACTCGTGCTGCCAACAACAACACCATTGTGCTCTCACCGTACTGCTGCTTTTCGTCAGCATTAACTGCGATTGCCTTTTATCCCTTCCCATCTTAGCTCCGTTTGTACATAACATCAGAAATAACACCGGGCTCTCTCTCTAACATGCAGCTGCGCACAACTTCATATCTGATCTGAGCTGCTTCCTCTTATGTCTTAGATTCGCAATGAGTGGAGGAAGCAGCCGTACACACGGTGTGCATGTATACACCCACGTGTACCGTGTGCCGCTGGAAACTTCTGCAAATGTACAGAACAGTTGTTCACAGGAACATGAAATAAATGCGTCTACCGTAGCCTTTTAGGGTGGATCTACGTCAATGCTGTCTGCAAAACTCAGACGGACACGGACAAAATCAGTCTGCAAACACAAATAGTGGCATGCATTATAATACCAATGTATCCTTGGTATGCATGACAATAATGTGTTCAGTCGTTATCCGTACTTCTTCACGGTCTAACTTGGGGATAAAGGTAGAGGAGGCACAGGAGCAGGAAGAGGAGAATGACCCCAAGGTCATTGTGTTTGGGTTTAATGCCTCTCTGTTTAGCTTCGAGAACCGAGGTCATTCAAATATCAAAATGATTATATATATATAATATATATATATATATATATATATATATTGTTAAAATTGTCCCAGTGTAACCAGTGGGATGCTAACTGCTAACCAATTGGCCTGCCGGTATACAGCAGTCTATAGCTGTCTAGTCCTGTCGTCCAGTCCATAGTGAGTGCGAAGCTCCTCCAGGTAACTCACTGTTCCGTATGCTGGTGGCAATCCGCCATGACACACACCGTACCAAGTCAGCCCAAATATGGAATCCACATGTTATGGGAAGGCACTATTATTGTGTGGAACCTTGGCCCAGGGACCACAGAGTGCACTGGGTTCTTCAGGTCAAAACCTCCACAGATCGAAATGACTGTGGGATCAGGGCCTTTGTGAACTACTCAAGTCTTAGATTTATGGCCATTTCAATACAAACCTCAAACTGACCGCAGACCAAGTGCTGCAGAAGTGTGATGTGTGTGTCTCAACTCCTCTCACTGGTCCAGTGTCCCATGTGAGCCCCACTGCTACGAAGGTCTGTGTCTCTAAGTGTCTGGACCAAAGACTGCATGTGACTGCATGTGAGGATCCCCCTCTACATAAATCCTTTATGTTGCCAAAGCCTCTCCAGTCCAAGGAGAAGGCAGTGACTGAAGTGGGACAGCGTGCTTTATGAATCAGTGGTATCCATCAGTATGAACTCCCCAGGGAAGTAACGGCCCAGCCCGTATTCATGGGCGACTGTGGGTGAGTGGGGAGCACGGTCGTCCTCCAATCAGAGGGTTGTGGTTCGATCCCAGGCCCGGCTAACCCGCATGTTGATGTGTCCTTGGGCAAGACACTTAACCCAACATTGCTCCTGTAGCTGCGACTACAGTGTGTGGATGTTAGTTACTGATGGGCAGGTGTCACTGTGTGTGGTTCTCCTGTCATCAGGGTGTGAATGGGTGAATGATGTCATGTAGTGTTAATGGCTTTGAGTGGTCGAAAGACTAGAAAAGCGCTATACAAGTACAGTCCATTTACCATTCACATATCGTGACCAGATCATCCACATGGTAATATAGTCCACCCGGCTAGGACTAGCAGTATTGTTTCTATGTTCTACTGGCATCTGGTCTGCAGTGCTGAGCCTCTTGGCCTTGGCCTCTTCTGCTCGTTCCCCCACAGGGAGCGAACCATGTAGTCCTTAATGACCCTGCTCTAATTTTGCTGTATATGTATATGTAGTATAGTGTACAGCATCACAATGTCAGATATTACTCCTGTTAAAAAAGGCAGCGCAGACTAATCCACTCTGTCTATTTCTACATTTCACAATCAAAGCCCTAAACACATGGACTAGGAAACTGTATTCCAGAGGGAACTACATTTCCCCAAGAGCATTTCACTTACTGGGAACTCAATAAAGTAGCTTCTAGTAGTTTAGGCTTCATAAGGGTTGGATAACTAACAGACGTCTCTGCGTCCACAGGACAAATCTATTCCAGCCGCTTATGGAACAGGAATACCAGACATTGCAAAATTAGCCAAAATGAATCGCTTTGATGTGAGTATTTAGCATTTTTTTTGTGTTAATCATTTACGCCCTCTTTTTTTTTAAAGGGTTAGTCCTATGACCCAATAATTGAAATCTCCTGATTACACAATCACACATCACGAGGCTTTAAAGTTTGGTGGATGTGACATTGTGGCGCTCATGCTGACCGAAGAGAGGGTCCGAATAAGAAAGTGCTGCTGCATGGTTCTTGGAAAGCCAGCTCCCTCCTGGTCTGGGCTCGGCCCGGTCTCCACACTGCAAGCCAGGCTCCTCCTCTGGCGTCCCTCCCACTGCCAGCTCATGTGCCTGCTTTCCTTTTTTCCTCTCTAATTGTATG